AAGGCGCTGCGCGGGGTGCTTGCGGTGCTGAAGGAGCTCGAGGCTGAGGGCGCTGGGACCCGGGAGTGGCTGGTTCGCTCGGCTGCACGCGCCTCAGCGATGTTTTACTCAGGCCTCCTCACCGAGGGCGGCCGCAAGGAGACCGACATGCGAGAGGCGGCATCGCTGCGACAGCAGCGCCGGATGAAGCAAGCGGTTCAGTTCATCCACAAGGACTCCGCCGACCTGCTGCCCCTGGACGGCCTTAAGAAGCTGGGCTCGTCTAAGGACACGGTGAGCCCCGCGGCCGCGCCCGCCTCGGGGTCCCTGCTGCCCGGTCACCTCAGCTCTGAGAGGCCCCAGCCCGACCCTGGCCGCTTTCACTGAGTCACCGGCCGCTGGCATATGCTTGGCCGGGAACCCTTTCCCCTCAGTATCCTCCCGCCGGGGTTGCTCCCTCCCTCCTCGCCGCCTTCTCCCTCTGAAGGAGGAGACCTCGTACAGTCCTCTCGCCCTCAGACTCCTTTCTCCCGCTGATTCTTAATGCTGAATTCATTCGGTTCGTGGTGGTATGAGCCTCGCAGTCAGCCTGATGACCCTGATAGAGGTGACCGACTCCTGTTGGGGAGTGAGAAAGTGGAAAGGGAAGTTCTTGACAGTCACCATGTCCAGATGACTCGTTAAGTCATTACAAACATCTGATTTTCTACCTTCCGTCCTGAGTGGGGAGAGAGTAGAATGTTCAGGTTCCCTGGACCCCACACAGCTCTTCATCTTTTTCATCTCGTTTCCTTCTCTAGCCCTGCCCCCAAGGAGTGGGTGGAGGGAGAAGGCCAGGAGGCTCCATCTCTTTGACCAGCTAACGTGTGCACATAGTTAGAGCTGAGGCTGGTGCAGTCTTTCTTTTGGCACCGTTGTTCTTGGTATTAACTAGGAGAAGCCCAGGACTGATTGGACCCTGAGTTCAAAGACCATGCTGCCCTCTATCTATAGAATAAGGATGGTTGGCTAAATATTACCAGGGAACTACGGTTGATTCTTATCCCTCAGTCATTTAATGGTTCTGGGCCATGTTTAACCTTGTTGTTTTAGCTGGACTATTTTTCTTGTACTTTGATGGTTTTCTTGAGTTCATAATCACTTTATTCATCTTTATTCATTTGTGAAACATTAATTAATGTCTTTTACAAATGAAATAAGTACACTACATAAGCTTTCCAGTATTTTTAAATTTTGGGCTCTTGGAATGTTTCATTTTGTTTATGGATATTGGCCCTGGCTCACTCAGGTTGCCGTGGAGGACAGAGCTTCTGTGACTGTTTTTTTGTTTTGTTTTGTTTAATTAATGACACATCAATACCAATGCCACATTTTCCCTACTTACCATTAGTTACTTATGTGCAAGGGAAATCTACTCAAGTTATCTTGCTCTGTTTTTTAAGTTATATTTTCTGCACAAGCCACAGGATAGTTAATTAGATCATGCTAACCGAGAGTGATGAGTGATTGGAAATGTATTCCTTTCTCTTCCCTTTTTTACCTTTAAAGGAGTCTAGATTAATTTAGCAAACCAGATACAAGTCTTCTTTTCTTTAGACCAAATTAATTTTAGTTCCTAGAAGCATTAGGAATCAATAAAGGAAGAACTATTGAGAGAAGAGTTAAAATGTGGATTTTTTTCATGTTGGATTTAAGATACTGACATTTGGTTGTCCTGGATCATCAAAGAGCCCACACTGCCCCCCGCCCCCCAAAGAACCATCTCAGCATCTTTCCAATGATTGCTTTTACTATTTCATGCTATGTAAAAAATCCCACCTGCTTTTCTGACTCCATTCTGTCACAGTTGAGCCACCAGAAGCTGACAGCATAGAACATATCGTTAGGTAGCAAGGAGGAAGCATGCTGAAGAAGCAGGGGATTGCCATACATGTGACACATGTCAAGTGACTATGAATCCCCGAACCATGGTTCACACTTTCTGTACCCATTATCCTAGAGTTGATTTCCCTCTCACTCTTCTCACACCTTGAATGTGCAAGTGATTGCATGGAACAGCCAGAACAGGTCACAGAAACACAGGCAGGGCTAGGAGAGATGCAAGTACTGGGGTGAGACAACATATTTTAAGCTCTCTTGGAACTGATTTTGCAGCCTCAGTACAATCTTCCGAGTAATCTTAGAAATACGTTCTTATCACTCTGCTTTATAAATACATCTGATAGGATAGACCAATATTGGTTCTTATTTTCTCTCTCTAAAAGTTAAATTTGGAGGGTATTAGAATTAATTGAATAGTTCGTATTTGAAGTAGTTTTTACAGGACAGTCTCAATAGAAAAGGGACAGAAAAAGGGAGGGTATAAGAAGAGAAGACAAATTAGCTTTCACGACTTCGGGGTTTGAGCAGTGTGAAGATAGTGGTTTGTTTTTCCTCATCCTGGTTCTATTTGAATTATGTTGCTGACTTTTCTGAATGATCTACTTCATGCCATGCTGTTTCTATAATGTTCACCTTTCAGTATCAGTTTGCCAGCTCTTTTTGGTTTGAAAGAGGGCACTGTAGGCAATTCAAGATGGTCATGATCTCTTGGCCCCAGGAAAATGCCTATGCCCAATCCTTATGTGTGTGGAGTTGGTTGCTACAAAGTCTGCTGTGGAAATTAATCTTATTTCTTATGGCTGGCTCTTTTATTTATCCTTTCATTATATTGTTTATTTTGTATTATATTAAGAACTAAAGTCAGAGAGCTGAGTAAGTAATATATTTACTTTTTAAATCTAATCTTTTTTTATTTTTTGTTTTTGTTTTTTTGAGACAGTTTGGGCTGGCCTTGAACCCATTATGTGGCCCAGACTGCCTCAAACTCAAGGTGATCCTCCTGCCTCAGTCTCCCCTGCGCTGGGATTACAGGCGTGTGCCAGCATTCCTGGCCATTTTTAAAATAAAATATTGATGAAGTTTGAGGAAAAAAAAAATTTTTGTTTTTGAGACAGTTTGGGCTGGCCTTGAACCCATTATGTGGCCCAGACTGCCTCAAACTCAAGGTGATCCTCCTGCCTCAGTCTCCCCTGCGCTGGGATTACAGGCGTGTGCCAGCATTCCTGGCCATTTTTAAAAAAAAAAATTGATGAAGTTTGAGGAAAAAAAAAATCTTTATTCTTGACATTTCATCTATTCTGATTTCTCATGTTTCAGCTACTAGGTTCATAAAAGTTTTTCTCGTTGTGTTAAAGACTCATAATTTTAGAAAATAACATGTGTGTATTTGTATGTGACCTTGTTACTAATCTATGTCCCTTCAGCCATGTGCTTGTCTGGCAGTAGAGAGAGTTTATCTTTTCTATAATTGATTCTGCATATAGCCAAATGCTTTAACCAAGTTTACTAGAATTAGGAATGCAGGCTAAAAAAAAGGATGGTACCAGATAGTAAGGCAAACTGACCATGAAACTCCTGATTTGAAATACCTGATCCAGAGCAGCCTAGGGTGGTGACCTGTGCCACAAGTCTTAGGCTAGAGAACTTAGGAGCCTTAGAAGGGAAGCATGAAGACTTCCTGAACTGCACTGTGTCCTAGTAATAAACATTATCTGAAGGCTTCCTGTGTTGAGCAGATAGTCTAGGTGCTACATAAAGACAAAGTTTCTTTAACATGAGTTTATTAGGGAGAAAGATAGGGCAGATTAGTTAATTTATTACACTGATATTTATTGACCACCTACTACATGTCAAACAGTAGTTTGAGTATTGGAGATAAAATAGTGAACCAAAACAGAGATCCCTCATGGAATTTGTATTCTTGTGGGAAGAGGAAACAAAATAAAATTAAGTAAATATATCAGGTAAATAAGCTGGATGTGGTAGTGCATGCCTGTAATCATAGCATTTGGGAGGCTGAGGCAGGATCTCCATGTGTTTGAGGACAGCCTGGACTACATAGTGAGTTGAACTACATAGTGAGACCCTATCTAAAAAAACAAAAATAACCCCACCCCAGCCCCTCCACATTTCCGTGCCTTTGCTTATTCCCCTCAACTTCCCAGTGCTTCTTCAGCCTCCTCCCACTAGCCACAGGAAGTGGAATGGATTAGCCACCTCATTTGGAATAAGCAGGGTGTCCTCATGGGACCCTCATCTCTCCCCAGCCAGTTGGTGCCACCTTCACTCCTCATCAGGGTGAGCTAACCCTGCCTGGCAGTGGGAGGTGATGAGAGACACCCTCCCCCACACAGAGGGAGGACAAAGCTATGCCCCTCCTGACAATAGAATGTGGTGAATGCAGGGGGCCCCACTCTGATGGGCAGGACCTAACCCTCCTGCCCCGACCCCCAAGCCCTCCATGATTTACCATCCCTACCTACTTTTGTCCCCAGCCCCACTGGGAAAAGAAATGAGGGAGCAGAGTATCAGAGGAAAGAGTATTCTAGGCAAAATGAACAGCAAGTGCAGAGGCCTTGATATCAGTGTGCTTGATGTGATTGAAAAACCATGACAGGGCCAATGTAGCTAGAGTAAAAGCAAGGAGGAGGGTGACATGAGATAACATCAGACAGGTAGTGGGAGGCCAGACTACTTAGGCCCTTGTAGTCTATTTTTCAGGCATTTACTTTTAATCTGAGACGGGAAGCCTGTGAAAGGTTTTGAGCAGAGGGCTAATGTGACATGACTTGCTTTATAAAGAAAATTACTCAGGATACTGTGTGGATTAGATCACAGAAGGGCTATAAACAGGGAGACTGATTGGGAGATTATTCTACAATAATCCTGGTGAGAGACCATGGTACCTCAGAGCAATGTAGTAGCTGTGAAGTGAACAAGAAAAGATCAAATTCTGAATATATTTTGAAAATCGAGCTGACAAATTTGGTTGATGGATTGAATGAAGACTCCGAAAGTTAAAAGAGTAGGTAAGGATTGCCTCAAGGTTTTTGATCTAGCAAGTAGAAGAAACAGAGTTGTTATTGAAATGGGTAATACCACAGGAGGAACGGGCTGGGGATAGAGTATAAGAATGAGTTTGATTTTTGAACATTAAGTTTGTTAAGGATGTGGATGTTGGTAGACATTCCACAAGAAGATAAATACCACTACCAGGCACCCCATGCTGTTAGACAAAAATGTTAGTAAGGGTGCAGCAGGGCATTGGGCATCGTTACTCCTGCCTGACGTGAAAGGGATAAACTCCAACAGCTTTACCATTCCCTCTGAGCAGTGGGCTGTGAGATGGAATGGAGAGAATGCTGCCTCCGTGGTGTGCTCTGTAGAACCTCAGAGTAGGAATTTTACCAGTT